CCCACATGCATGGCAGGAATCCAATTTCCTCTGCCATCACTGTTGCCCCTCAGGGTGCACATCACCAGGCAAGAGTCGAGAGAGAAGGTACGAAAGCCAGGTGCCTCAGGATGGAGCATAGTGTCACGTCCATCTTAACTGTTAGACCAAAAGCTGCTGCTCCTCACTCCTGTATCCCTTACACTGATTACATATTAAACTGGTAATAGGTTAGTTTAAAATAAAATACAGTGGGACCAGTGCAGTGGCTCTCTCACTAATCCTCCACCTGCAAGTACCTGTTTATAGCCTGGAAAGCAATGAAGGAGGGTCAAAAGCCTTAGCATCTTGCACCCACATGGGAGAGCCAGAGGAGGCCCCTGGCTACTGGCTTCTGATCGGATCAGCTCCTGTCATTCTAGCCATTTGGGGAGTGAACCAGCAGATGGAAGATCCTTCTGTCTCTCCTTCTCTCTGAAAATTTGCCTTTCCAATAAAAATTTTGAAATCTTAAAAAGAATACAATAAGTTCGATTGTTGCTATAATTTCAGTATGGCTCCAGGAACCTCAGAAATGATCTAAGTGGCTCCCATCCAATTCCTACCGGGAAGCACTGTTCCAAAGACAGCTCTGCAGAGAAAGAAGCTAAATAACCTCCAGACACCTCACAGGACATTACAGGGCACCATGCCATTCGTCTTCACATCATGAGTGTGCACATCTCAGTGAGCACAAAATAGTTCAAAACACATAGCATCAAGGAGAAGATTCACAGAATGCATTTCTTATACATCATATTTGTTTGCATTTGAAAATAACAAATATAGAATAATTTTTTAAAGATTTATTTTGTTTTTTATTGGAAAGTCAGATACACAGAGAGGAGGAGAGACAGAGAGGAAGATCTTTCATCTGCTGATTCAGTCCCCAAGTGGTCACAATGGCTGGAGCTGCGCCAATCTGAAGCCAGCAGTCAGGAGTCTCCTCCGAGTCTCCCACAAGGTTACAGGATCTTAAGGCTTTGGGCTGTCCTCGACTGCTTTCCCAGGCAATAAGCAGGGAGCTGGACAGGAAGCGAGACCACTAGGATTAGAACTGGTACCCATATGGGATCCCAGTGTGTGTAAGGTGAGGACTTTAGCCACTAGGCTCCTGCACAGGGCCCCAGAATATTTTTAATTTAAAAAAATAAATAAATAAAAACACCTATGAGCACAAAACATTACAGTCACAACTAGGTGAGAACAGAATTGCCATACATGGAGAGGAAAATCAGTAAGAAAATACAGCAAAGGTTTGTCTGGGTGTAATTTTTAATTTGGGTTTCTTGTTTGATTTTTTTCTTCTTATAAAATTTTCTAGTTTTCTTTAATTAGCATTATTTCACTGTAACTACTTTTGTAAAATCTACATCTAGAGCCTAGTCTTTAAAGTTTGCTGTTTGATATAAACCTGTAGTGTGTATGTGTGAGAGAGAGAGAGCAAGCGAGCCTGACCAAGGCTTGAAGGGGTAAACCTTCCAACATCCTTATGCTGAGCTCCCAGCTACCTCCCTGCTACAACAGCTTTTGATCTGCAAATCACCAGATATCACCCAGTACACACTTTAGCAGGAGGACTTGGAGTTTTTACCAATGTGACTAAAGAGATAAACATTTTGTAATAGCCTATCATGTTCAAAATGCAAGTATTTCTCTTCAATCAGCACAAGTTTAGAGACAGCATGGTTCTCCACCCAAAGAACATAAGCAGCCTGGCTACTCAGGCCTCCGCTTCCAAAGCAAGTGGTGACACTTGTACATCCAGAGTGTCCCATGGGGGTCTCATGGCCCCTGTGCACACGTCGTCATTGAACCCTCTCTGACTCATTGAAACTATCTCTACTTCAACTTCTAGTGAACAAAACCATCCAGCCCTGATTCCCTTAAACAGTAAGAAAATGTCTGAAAGGGCAAGATCAGCAAGACTGAGGTCCCTGAGTAACTTGTTATGGTTAATGTTTACTAAGACCACAGCTTAGTGCGACACTCAGGTTTCCAGCCCCTCACTCATTCTCTACAAAGCCAACCGCATGACTGGCTGGGATACAGCCCTTCAAACAAACCTCCCTGAGAATCTCCACAGGAAGGATGAGGCAGCCTCAAAAAATAGCAAAGCCGTTTACCTAAAAACTAAAGTATTTTGCTCCCATTAGTAAAAACTGTACAACTTAGAAAGGTACAAGAGAAGTACACAGCCAGGCAATCTGACTAAAGCAAAACCCAGGGACAGTGACAGAACAAACAGAAAAACTGACTCTCATAGCCAGGAAACACCCTACTACTATCACAGCCTCTTCCTCCTGGAGAGGGGAGAGTACCTGGGGCAGATGCTGACTATTTAAAAATACCAACACACAACTTGAAGTAACATGAAATGAAAGGCTGCCAACAAAGGTGACAAAAGAGCTTACACAAACTTGTAACTCGTTTCTCAAGTCTGTGAACTCTCTGAGCCCAGAGATCTTGCAAATGACTTTACTGGAATGCAATATCAGATGAAAACAATGTGGGAATTTTTAAAAAATCTGCTTTGGTTTTTAATCAGGTTAGCATTATGACAATTTTTTTCTCTTTTAAAAAATTTCAGTGTTTACTAAAATCAGATCAGCAAAAGCTGTTAAGGTTAGCCCAAGAAGTACTAACAGCTTCTCTCAAACAGTCCCAAATTAAAACAAGAATGCCTAAAAACTCAATTCAGTCATATAGCTGAGTATGGTTCAGATCTCAACCCCAGGACAATTCCAAGTATTGACTTGTTTTGGAATGTTTCTTTCTTTTTAATTAAAACAAATTAAAGATCCTGATTATTAGAAAGGCAGAGTTACAAAGAGACACAGAAGATCTTTTTTCAGCTGGTTCCCTCTTTAAATAGCCACCACTACTGGAGCTGGACCAGTCTGAAGCCAGGAGCCAGGATTGTCATCTGGGTCTCCCATGTAGGTGCAGGGGCCCAGACACCGGAACTACCTTCTGCTACTTTCCCAGGCACATTAGCAGGGAGTGATTGGACAAGGAGCAGCCAGGACTCTAACTAGCACCCAGATGGGATACCAGTACTGTGGGCAGTCTACACCCCCAGCACCAGCCCCTGGAATATTTCTAAGAACACACTTTTCAAAGCTTTTCAGCTTATAGAAAATCAATTTGTATCTTACTTCCAATTACACCAGTGAAGTTAACTTCAATACACTGACTTCTGAATTCTAATGTGTATAATTTGCAAGTATCACCTGAAACTAATGATTAGGGTCACAAATATCTACCTCACTGCATGACACCACACTCAAATATTAACATCTACAGAAAAGGTCCTTCCAAAAATCTATTACAAAAAAGAACAGAAAGGAAACAACATTGATAAAATAATAACTAGGGAAGCTTCTCTATCAGAGCAGCATTGTGAACTAGCTTGAAACAAAGCATGCCCACACCACACTGTGTACAGATGGACAGGTGAGTCCTGAAGCTCAGAGAGGCTTCTGAGTCTGGCTACACAACAGAAGAGATGTCTGATAGAAACACAGTGCCTGAGTAAAAGAGAAAAACATCAAGTTCAGGGATAAACTGAATTTGAAATGGGTCAAAGGCAAATCTCTAGATGTAAATTCTGGCAGAGCAATGCCTTGGTGCACCCTACTGGTGCCACCTGGCTCGCCAATATCCCATACTAGTGTGCTTGGGTTCAAGGACTGGCTCTGCTCCCATTTCCTGCAGGCATCAGTGATGGCTCCAATTCCTGGATCCCTGTCACACACGGGAGACCTGGTCTGAGCTCTAGGCTCCTGGCTTTAGCTTGGCCCAGTCATCATGACCTGCTTGTTTTTGTCTCTCTCAAATAAGCAAATAAATAAATTTTTGAAAAAAGATTTATTTTCATTGAAAAGGCAGATCAGATTTATTGAGAAGGAGGGACAGAAAGATCTTTCATCTGCTGGTTCACTCCCCTCAACTGGCTGCAACGGCTGGAGTTGCACTGCGCTGATTCGAAACTAGGAGCCAAGAGCTTCTTCCGAGTTGTCCACATGAGTGCAGAGTCCCAAGACTTTGGGTCATCTTCTACTGCTTTCCCAGGCCATAAGCAGGGAGCTGGATGGGAAGTGGAACAGCCGGGGCACAAACTGGTGTCCATATGGGATCCCGGTGTTTGCAAGGTGAGGATTTAGTCATTAAGCCCACACTGGGTCCCCATAAATAAAAATTCTAAAAATAAGATCTTTGGCAAACACAGACCAAGGTTCCTGTCTGAGATGACTTGAAAAGCTGCAATGCTAGCACCAGTGTGATCCTAAGTCTTTTTATTTGAGGAAGCTGCTTTCTATTACATATGTGAAAGACAGCTGGCTCCCTTACATCTCATTATGCTAATCCAAGAGCTTAGCCATACATTTCCAAAATATAAAACACATCTTACAGACATAGGTTTTAGTTAACTGATTCTTTCTCAGCTATTTAAATTAAGAATATTATTACAAACATTTTGGGACCATTTTTTACATTCCAATAGATGCTTCCTTGATCTAGAAAATCCTCAGTGGCTGTCACACAGTTGCACATGAAATGCCACTAGCAGTGATTACAACAGTTCTAGAAGCCACTCAGATGGCCCATAAGGCTGCCAGCTAAGCCCAGCAAAGGCTTCAACAATGCAAACAATTTCCAAATCAAACAGCCAAATTATTCCTATGATGGTTAATTCTTCCTTCTGTTCAGAAACAGAGTGCACTACTACACTAAAAGGCAAAACCCAGTTGCCCTGGGAAGCAAGAGGCAGAACATGCCTCCCACAAGCTGGCATTCTGCTATCTCGCTGCCTGTGCTAAAAAATGAGCCAGACACCCTGAGCATTTGAAAAGCAGGGATTGTTCCTTTCATCCAGAGGAATTATGTGGCAAACTGCCCCTTAACTCACAATAACGGCGATGGATGCTAGGACGTCTAGCTGCTGATCACAGGTCTCCCATAAAGATTACACTTCTTACCCTGACGACTTGCCGCGTGCTTGTAATGAAGGCTTTTCTTATACTCAGTTCAGTGGCATCGAGGTTGAATTTTCTAGGATTTGCTTCAACTATGCGTAGGTCAAAAAGTCAAGGCAAAGTAATTTCATCACCAAAAGCATAATGACCAACTTCCCATTAAACTCCAGAGTCTGTCCCATGTAGGCAAAATCGGACTGAAACGTTCTGCAAATTAGTCACCTCGACAGTAACCACTTTCAGACCTTCCTGCCCACAGCTACAGCTACATCCTGGTCCCAAAGAAGAGCCCAAAATGAAGAGATGCAGCTCCTGTAACTGGACACACGACAGATTTGCGGCCATCCGATGCTGCGAGCTGAGGTCTTCCTGACACTTGCCAGTACTCACATCTATCCTTTTTTGACTTCTGGTTGCTTTTCCCATGGCAGCTTTAGCAAGCCTTTTTCAACTGCCATTCCAAACCCCCGTACTTGTGCTAAGATGTGAACCCAACTTCCCACACTCCAAAGGTCAGTCGCCTTCAATGCCCCTGCACCCCATTGTTAGCCTGGTCATACCCCTACATGACACACAGGGTTCTCTGCACTTCTTGTTACTACTAGCTAATACCTGATCCCTACCCCACCCCAAATCCTCTGCTTTCACAGATCCAATCTCAGTAATGGACAGAACACCAGGTACACGGTGTACCCTCCCTCTCAGTGTTTGCTGAATGAACATGGAGTTATCAGTTGGAATTTCTGCCCTTTTCTCACAACTTCTTTATTTCTCCCAATCTTCCCCCCCCCCTCCTGTATCCAAGGAAGAACCATCTCCTGAAACTGCTTTTGATCTCACATCCTCTCCTATCACAGTTCCCTAATTTTAGGAAATATACTTGCCTCTTAACTACTTAAAAAGCACTCTTATTATCAGCTGCACATGACCTCTGTTGATAAAAGCAGTTCCTTTCACGTTTTATCTCACATAGAGGAAAATAAAACAGAACTTACAGCATACAACTCTTATCTTCCATCTAAAATTTTGGATAAATAGAATTTTCCAATTGAAAAAAAAGGCCATTTACAATTCAGCTTTCACAGTAATTCAGTCTCATCAGTCAGACCAGCTGCACGCCAACAGCATGGATTAGCCAAATAGATCTACTTTCCCTGAGTGCAGTTTCTTGGTATAAGATGCCTCTCCAACAGACAGTGACATTGTAATGTCACTTCTCACACAGGAAGACAGGTGATGAAAACGTTCCTTGAACTCTAACTGTCAGTGTCTAACTGGTCTGTGTACATTTCCAAACAGAAGCTAGTAGCAATGGCCACTAATGTGCACCCCGCACCATTCTGAGGTCTTCATATAGTAGCCTTCAACACCCTCTTTCTACTGAAGAAAAGCTGAGGCACAGAAAAGTCAACTTGCCCCTAACCACACAATAGGCATGGTGGCTGTGACACTGACATCGTCATCACACAAGCAGCCGCACTCCTGCTTCCCAGCACACAGCTCCACAATCCCTAGACTCTCCCTTGCCACGTGAGTCTTGTGCTAATGAGATAACTAAGGCTCAGAGCTTCCATCCAGGGAACCAGAGTCAGAGAGTTGGAACTTCTAGCTTCACCCCTTCCTGACCTCTGGGAGGGGAAAGAGGATATAGGTTGAACTAATCACTGCTCCCTGTGATCAGTGATGTAATCACTTGTGCCTAAGTGGAGAGGGGACAGGATTCAGAGAGCTGAACACAGGAGGTTCCTGTGGGGTGGTGCACCTAGGCAGGGCTGGAAGAGCAATCCCCATTCCCTCTACTTCGTCCTATATGCCTCTGTCACCTGGCTATCCTGTATAAAACAAATGGATAAATGAAGGCAATGTGTGCCCCTGAGCTGTGTGTGTCCTCCAGTAGATGCATTAACTTAAGGATGACTTGTGACCAGTGGCTGAAGCGAAGCAGTCTCACAGGACTGAGTCTTCAATCTCTGTGCTCTGATATCATTTCCAGGTACAGTATCAGAATGTAGCTGAACTGTAGGATGCCCAGCCCTCCTCATCTGGAGAACTGAGTGGTGTGTGCAGGAAAATCCCTGCACATCTAGTGTCACAGCACTGTGTCAAGTTGATATCATATCCTTTCCCTTGGTGGAGGTGGACTCAAACACCAGCAATCTGCCTCTGAATCTGAAGTCATAATCACTGCAGCACATGGCCTCTCTGCTACAGACTTGTCAACCTCAGCTTCCTGCACCACTCACAACATGTCATGCACAGATGTGTGCAGCAGGTACTGCTCAAAAAAGAGCACATCTATGTGTGGAGACACCTGTCATTGCCCCAAGCGCACAGACCAGAGAAGGATATTGATGGTTTCGTCAAGGTCTTCCAAATCCCACTCAATGCTGCGCAGGTTGTTCCTCAGCTCGTTGGTGGTCCAGTCGATTTCCTCTCTTGTTGCTGTGGAAGGGTCCTGGAGGAGCTCTGTCCATCTCTGAAACAATCCCTGGGCAGTGTTCACTGCTTTCTGGACCTCCCTGCCATCAGGGTAAAAAGGAGAGAGAAAAGTCACAGATGATGATGCCTGCAGGATCTCAGTGTTAATCATGACCCCACCCCACCTGCAATGGGAGGGAAGGGGAGAAGTCACAGGTGATGATACCTGCAGGACCCCAGTGTCACTCACGACCCCACGGTGTGCTCAGCAAACACCACATTCAGAAAGTTCTTCATGGAAAATATCAAATTCAAAACTTTAAATACATTAAGTGGTATGTTTTCAGCTGATTCTCAGAATAAAACCGTATTTAAACAGGTATAATATCAAGAAGGACACATTTAACTTTTTTTCTAAGGAACGATCTAACAAATCAACTAGAGTTGCTGATTCCCATACCTTCCATCTGGTGCAAGCAACTACAGGCAAATGAAAAAGCCCTCACGCAGCCTTTCTTTTCTTGGAGTGGGGACAGTGGGCAGAGTAAAGGGAGGAATACTCTTATGTACAGCTTCTGTTTCACAGGTTAAATATTTTAATCAGATGTTTTTAACCCCCAGATCTAATTGATTTGGAGAAGAAAAAGGAACACACTTTCTCATAACTCAAAATGCCTGGTTTATTTTAAGTGCTGAGTATCATCCATGATAACACAGAGCATCTGTGAAGGCAACTCATCCTAAAGAACACAGAATCACGGAAGCCTCTGACCACGAAGCTGCTGCCATTTCAGCCACCAGCATCCAACAACACTGCAACTGAATTCTACCAAGCAATCTCTAGACGTTTTGGTCTCAGGACTTTTCAGAATTATCAAAGACTGCCAAAGAACATAGACTGAAATGGGTTGCAAAGATTTCCATTTACTGTACTGGAAATTCAAATAAACATTCTAAAAAATATTTATCAGCTAACTAAAAAAATAATTTATGCATTACCATACATTTTAATAATAATAATAAAGAATTTCCAGAAAAGACAAAAACAAGTGAGAATGGTAGCACTGTTTCACAGCTTTGTGATTCTCCTTCATAACTGGCTTCCCATCCATTTGGGGTGAAATGTGTACGAATCCTGCCTTGTACAGGTACACAGATGGAAATTGGTAGAGAACTTAAGTAGTATTCTTGGATAATTGTGTGTGTGTGTGTGTGTATGTATAGTATACCAAAACTAGGGCCTAGCACGGTAGCCTAGCAGCTAAATTCCTCACCTTGAATGCACCATGATCCCATATGGGTGCCAGTTCTAATCCCGGAGGCCCCACTTTCCATCCAGCTCCCTGCCTGTGGCCTGGGAAGGCAACTGAGGATGGCCCAAAGCTGTGAAAACCTGCACTTGTGTGGGAAACCCGGAAGAGGCTCCAGATTCCTAGCTTTGGATTGGATCAGCTCCAGCCATTGCAGCCACTTGGGGAGTGAATCAACAGATGGAAGGCCTTCCTCTCTGTCTCTCCTCCTCTCTGTATATTTGGCTTTCCAATAAAAATAAATAAATCTTTTTAAAAAATTAGTATACCAAAACTAGACAAATCCAGTTTCTTACAGTTTAGCTGTAATGTGGAACCTACAAAAATATCAAAGGAGTTTTGTACACATTATTTGTACACATTATAATTTGCTGGTATATTTTATACTCTGAATGGTCCTTTACCCAGGGATGACTTTATAACATAACATACTAGTTACATGGAAATATCAGTTTCTTGACCACAACAGATTTTCCTAATGTCAATTTCATTATATAACATCCCAAATAATTCACAACACTCACCTCCATTCTTATCAGAAAAGCTTAAGTACTGGGAATCTGTGAGATCATAGTGGCTCACACAGGCTTTCCAAATTCCTACCCCGAACAGACCCAAGCTCTGATTTATCATCAGTAAAAATACTGTTTTTATGCTGTTTTGTATGATGTAACAAGGCAACATTCATTTTTTCAGAAAATATCTGAAGGGTTTTTTTTTTTAAGTTAATTTTGACATCTGGAAAAAATACAAGCATAAGTACTTTGTCAGTCATTCTCTAAAATAAAAATCAGACTGTTGAGAGGAGAAACAAGCTATTTCAGGAACATAAGTGCTTTCCCTAAAGATAATAATCGTATTTCACAACACAGCAAAAATGCTCTATACACATTCTTATTTTGTTACATAAAATCTCAAAATGTGTACTAGGAGAAAATAATCACAAATTACATGCTTGATTAACAATCAATTTGTGTGAGTATATATATATATACATACATATATATATTATAATAACTTAACAACAAACTAAATTTTAAAATGAGCAAAAAATTTGAAGCCACTATACCAAAGAAACACACATGACAAACATACATATGACATGAAAAGATGCCCAAACATCATCAGTCATCGGCAAAACACAAACCAAACCACCATCAGATACCACAGCATACTTTAAAAGATTTTACAAACACCAGAAATGGACAAGACCAAGTGTAGGGAAAGTGGGAAGGGAAATCACTGGGATGTCCAGCCATCACTGGTGGGAACACAAAATGAGACCACCATTCTGGAAGGCAGCTTTGCTATTTCCCTTTTTCATTTTTAAAAAAGGTTTTGTTTATTTGTTTGAAAGCCAGAGTTACAGAGGGAAAGGAAGAGAGAGAGAGCAAACTAGCTTCCATATGCTGGATCATTCCCCAGATGGCTGCAATGGCCAGAAGTGGGCCAAGGTGAAGCCAGGAGCCAGGAACTTTTTCTGGGTCTCCCACATGGGATAAGAGGTGCAAACACTTGGGCCATCTTCCACTACTTTCCGAGGCATATTAGTAGGGAGCGGGATTGCAACTGGAGCAGCCAGATCTTGAACTAGTGTCCATATGGGATGCCAGCATCACAGATGACAATGTTAACTACTGTGCCACACAACCGGCTTCAGTTTTGCTGCTTATTAGACCATTAAGCCAACAATGCCAGTCCTAAATGTGAAACTTCACAAGCATAGAGCAACCTGCACACGCTACCAAACCAGACAGTGACGCAGATGTCCTTCATTACAGGAATCTGTAGGATACCTGCACAACACAATACCATACAGCAGTGAGGACACAGGAGAATCCCAAGTGCATTAAATGGGGTGAAAGGAGCTAGATTCAGACAGTCATATGCTGCAGAACTCCACCAATACAGCATTCTGGAAAATGCTAAACGACAGGAGCAGAAAACAGATCACTGGGTAGTAGACGCCAGACAGGGGGCAGGAATTAGATGGAACACATGACACTTTTTTTTTTTTAATTGGAAAGTCAGATATACAGAGAGAAGAGACAGAGAAGAAGATCTTCCATCTGCTGATTCAATTCGCAAGTGGCTACAACAGCCAGAGCTGTGCCGATCCTAAGCCAGGTGCAAGAAGCCTTTTCTGCAGGGTGGAGTGGGCAGGACTAAGGCAGGCTAACCTTAGCCCACAAGCAAAATTAGAAATCAGGATGGAGCACAGGTCATGCCGAGCTGGGCTCTTGTACCTACTGGTCTACGTGAGCCAGGGACGTTAAGCCACAGCATCTAGGGCAGGGGTTGGGACAGGTGAGGGGCTATGACAAGCTGAGTCAGAGCAACCACTGGCATGTGTGTGATCTATGGTTGGGAACAGGCCCGATTGGGGAGATAAGGGGACCCCCTAGCTGGGTTGAGATTACCACTGAGGAGCTTGGGGGCTGGAATGGGGGCTGCATTCAGATCTGGATATGACTGTAGTCTCCCTTTGCACAAGTGTGGGCTGGGACTGGACACACCAAGCCGGCTAGACTCCAACACCATCTGGTGCTCTGGAGGACCAGGGTAGATGTGGGACGGACTAGGCTAGGTCTTAGCCCCTACTGAATCATGTGTGAGCTGTATGGGGGTATGGACAAGCCATGGCTGGGCTGAAACATCCAACAGTAAGAACCAGCTTGGGTTGAAGGCCAGTCAGGAAAAGCCACGGTTCCTGCTAGGACAGGAGGTAAACTGAATAGCGCTGGCTCATGCAACCACTGGTAGCACGAAATCTGGCACTGGGAGAGGTTCTGATGGAGGAACCTGGGCAACTCCTCTGCCAGGACACAGTCCCTGCAGGTAAGCACAAGAAGCATGATAGCAAACAGCCCAGAACAGGCCATGGAAAGTATCACACCGGCATACATTTGGCATGGGTCAGGGGCAGACCAGGCTGAACCAGTTCATATCACCCACTGGTGAATCCGAGCAGCAGAACAGAGTGTGGGTCGAGCCAGGTTTGGTCGCCACAAAACACCAGTGCACGTTATGGAATGCCAAGGTGAAGTGACATGTACAGGATGTGACCACAGCACCCAACCAGCACACATGAGAACCAAGGAGGGAAGGGGCGAAGCCGGCAGAGGGAATGTGGGGGTGCTCCCCTGCAGGACAGTTACTCCCACTGGAGAGAGCAAGTGAGCTGGGATGGGGACAGACCAGACTAGGCAGGGCTACAACACCTGTGGGCTTCATGTGGGCTAGATCAGGGAAAAGGAAGGCTAGGCTGATTGTTCCTACTGATGCAAACATAAAACAGAGCAGGTGAGGGTAGCTTCGGCTTTGCTGCAGCATCAGCTGGCAGAAGCTGGCATTGGGGGCTAATTCTGTCAAGTTAAACTGCAGAACCACCTGGAGAGTGCATAATCCGGGAATGGGAGTGGCACAGAAAGGAAATAGTGGCATAGAAAGGAAATGGTGGCATAGAAAGGAAATAGCCTCCCTCTTCGATTACCACTCCCACTGGAGGGCACGAAAACCAGGACAGGAGTTGGGGTGGCTAGACAGAAGGGCACCCAACAGCATGTATGTGGGCTAGATAGTCGGGCTGGTTGGGTTGAACTAGGCTTCGATGCCCACTGACATGTATGAGAGCTGAATGGGATGTGGGACAGACTGGACTAGTCTGCTGCACATAATGGCAAGCATGGGAACCAGGATGGGGGCGGGCCTGGTGGGGGTTATTGTGGGTCGCTCTGACTAGGCTACAGTTCCCACTGGTTTATGTGAGGGCCGAGTGTGTGCTGGGCAGA